TTTAGTGACATGGTGAAGGTTTGATTCCTACCACAAATATAAATCAATTATTTTTTGTTACCTTGCCACGGATATAGAGTTATTGATTTCCATTACTTACACGTGACTGTTATTATTGTTTGTTGTTACCTTGCCACGGATATAGAGTTTTTGATTTCCATTACTTACACGTGACTGTTATTATTGTTTGTTGTTACCTTGCCACGGATATAGAGTAATTGTACCTTACCTCCCTTTTTTGGGTTATTGATAGGATTTGAATCCAACACATTGTGATAAGTTATAATATATCTTGGGAGCTCTTTTTATTATATGATTCTTGTTAAGTTAGATTGACAAAATTGGGTTAAGTTTGTTGCTTAGGCTATCCTCATCCCAAAAATGTTAACACTTGCAAGATTACATAGCCATTGAAGTGGCATTTTAAATTTCTTTTTGTTTTAATTTTCGTGTCAGGTGTCTAGCAAGCTTTCTTATTAAGAAAGCTTGCTAAAACTAAAACTAACAAAGGTTGTCATGTGTACTTTTTTTTTTCTTTATTTGTGTACTTTAGTTATTTATTATATTAATTTATTATTATATTTATAATATAATATAAAAGTGGGTTCATTTTACAAATTTGATGATATTAAAGTGAGACCCTTGTTTTAAAAAGTGAAAGAAATTTATTGAGATAAGGATAGCCTAAGACTAGCCCTCGTGGACCGTGACAAGTGAATTGGCCCACGCAGGCACGCACTGCCCTCGATTCCAACCTCACGACTAGATTACAATGCATTTGGATCGAATCATTCAGATGTAATATTCTACTCCGTACTAAATTAATATGGACTCATTATCTTATCAAATACAGTTATTTTGTTAGACCAATCTCAATAAAGCAAAGGGAAAGTAACATTTTTCTTTTAATCTTTAAATGATGAGGAAATAATACTTTTCATCACTCTATTATTTTTTCCAAATTTCATCATTTTATTATTAAAATTGTATTAAGTCACTTCACATATAATTGAGAGACTAAAAAATAAATAGATAAAAAATTATTATTTCTCTATAATTTAAATTTATGAATCTAACTTAATGATGTTTCCAGAGAATTGTTAACCTCTTCATCAAGGTACGTGCCGTTTGGATTGAAAGAGTTGGAAATCCTACTCTATTATCGAGATTCGAGATTGATATACCCTGTACCAAGGTGGAACAATTTTTTTTTTCAATTAAAGTTTATTTTTTAATACAAATAAAAATAATATATAAAAATATCATTAAAACCATTAATTAATATCTTTTTAATGATAACATATTAATATTTTTAAAAGTTAACGTACGATTATATTAAATCATTATAGTTTTCAAAAAAAAATAAATAAAATTAAATCACTATATGAAATGTATTTTTAATATATTATTATTGATTCATTTTTTAGATACCATAAATTCATTTTTACAATATTAATACAAGTAAATTATTATACTAATAAGCGTTAAATACATTTATTAATCAAAAATATCAGATCATCTTCATAATACTACAAGTTCATTTTTAAAATACTATATGTTTATTTTTACAATTGTAATGCAATTACATTATAATGATATATATCAAATAAATTCATTAATGAAATGCTACAAGTTTATTTTTCACAACATTGGTGGTTCATTTTACAATAATAATGCAACTACATGATAATATTGATGAACCTAAAATATGTTCATTAAGAGAATAGCGGAGGTTCATTTTCACCTTGCAAAAAGTTCATTTTATTATTACTGCTCGGGGTCTAGTCCGGAAGCCGACACCTTAATCTTAGATTGCAAAGATCTGATGACAGTGTTCCAGGAGTGTCGCCTTAACCACGTCTTACGGGAAGGGAATCAGTGTGCAGATTTTCTGGCCAACCTGGGTCAGAATAATACTTGGGGAACTACAATTTGGGACAACCCGCCTAATGGTTTAGATAATCTCTTGGTGCGGGATAGCCATTCTGTGGCCACTAGAAGGATCACTTAATTCTCTGGAGCGCTAAGCTCCTCTTTACTCACCAAAAAAAAAAAATATATGAGTATCATTCAAAAGATCTCAATGAGATACTTTTAATAATATATTTTGTAATATTAATTTTATTTATTTATACAAAATAATGTGTAAATAATATATACAAATTGATATACATCATCTTAATGAACATATAGTATTTTTATAATAAATCTACAATATTATAATAATGAAACATGATTAATGATATTTTTTAATAGACCTATAGTATTATATTAATGAATTATGATCTATAATACGGAGTATAAAGTGAATCATGATTCACGATATAATTTTTCCTATTGTCCTTCTTCTCTCAAAAGATTGAATCATAAACCCCACGGTCCCCCCATACCCGGGTCTGAAACAAAGCATTTGGGATGATGTAAATCACGGTGACTCAATGGCTCAGTAGACATGATCAAATGACGGTGCACATAAAAAATTTGTCAACTTTGGATATAATTTTCACATTGTCGTCACCAAAATTCAAACATTGATCTCTTCTTTTAAATATTGTCTACTAAACCATTGAGCTAAACTCATACAGGCAATTCTCCTATTGTCATGTTCATTGGATTGTGAGCCAAAAGTCCATGATTTTTCCTCTTGGATCTGCTACTATCCTAACCCATTCAATTTCGGGCTTCTTTAATATTATTAATTAAACATGGACAAACCAAACAAGGTCCCCTATCCACATCATTATTAAACATTAAAATGCACAACCAACACACACAAACCTAATACATGCGAGTCACATACATTATATTATTATATTGTTTAATGATTAATTCTTTATTTATAATAAACAAGTGATTAGAATAAGTGCACGACATCTTATCTCATGATTAATTAAGGATAAACACAACACCCGCCGCCTTTATCAACCATCTAAAATTGGAAAGGTGGCGAAGGTGCAACTTCCCAATCTCTTTGTTTATCAGCCAACAAATGCTTCTTGCCTTAAAAGCTGAGATTTCAAGATAACATACTATATTTAGGAATCTCTATTTTTAGACAACTCCCCTCTCCCAACCTTCCCCAATTTACGATATCAACCTTTGTTTCTACCCACAGCTGGTCAAGATGACATGGGCAACATTGTCATTCCATTGTTTGTTGTCTAATTCCGGGATGGTGATATTTTTAATTAATTTATATATTAGGGATGAGGGGGTTTAATTAATTAATTAATTAATTAATCATGAAAAGTCTAATAAGAGTAATATTAGGGTTTGAAGGAAAGACTTGAAGACCTGCACTCAACAGCAAATCCCCAACCAACCCCTCACTGTCATTGCCCCTAAAGACAAGTGTTCATATATAGCCCCTTTAATACGTACTTAAAGTAATTAAGTTGGTGTTTCAATCTAGCTAATCCCAATAGGGTTGGTACAAAATTATGTCTTAATTCTTTAATAATGATTGGATGGTGTGTTCTGTTTCAACTAAAATTTTAAATTGATAGTAACACGTTACATTTATTAATTTTATATTTTAATTTTAAATTTTAAATTCATGTAGTACATACAAATTTAGGTAAAACTAGTGCTCATCTATGTCAAAGATGAGGACACCCTATCTTTATGTGCACTCACAATGAAATTAATATGTATAAAATATAATGTATTCAATTGCCCTAATTTATGTATTCAATTGCCCTGCTCATACTTCATTCAGTAAAATTGAATTGCTGTAATTCATGTATTCAATTAAAATTAGAAAAATTAGGGCAAAGAAACAAACCTGAATATTGAGAGGAGACCAGAGGCACTGCTGGCGTTCCTGCTGACCAGCGGGCAACAACTGAGGGCTGAGGGGGTTACGGCTGTAAGGCGGCGAGCCGGAAGCGGTGAAGCAGCGACTCCAGCGACGAACGACTCAAAATAAATAAAAAATTATATATAATACAATTCCAAAACGACGTCGTTTTGGGGCTATATGATTTTGGACAGTGGGGGCAGCTGCTCTCATTGTCTCCAGGCCACCTCCGTCCCTGGTTGTATCGATTCTATTTTTTGATGTTATTCTTGCTTGAATTCGAGCAAATAATTGTCCAATTATTCGTGCAGTGTTCATGCGATGCACGGATAAATTTTTTTATCATATATTTAGATAATTAAATTGTTACTATTTCTTTAATCCTTTCAAAATTTGCTAAATATTCATTCAAATACGTGTGAATACGTATCAATGCAGAACACTACTGAAATTTTTCGTATGAGCAAAACAGACATGGGGGAGCGTTTCTACATTAGAGAGAAATGGTCTCCCCGAATATGCTTTTCCTTGGTTGATATCCGATTAGAATAGTATAGATTATAAAAAATTACGGTAATAGTTTTAAAGATTTTAATTTTGATAGGGCCTCATTTATTTATCCGAACAGTGTCACAAAAATCCAAAATCAACGCTAAAATTAAGAGTAAGAAATAAAAGTACATATAGTATTTTATGTATTATGGACGCTTATGACACCGACACAAAAAGTACCAATTTAATTTACTATATTTTCAAAAACTTGTCATAGTTATTGATGTTTTATTTATTTATTTTTTTTTTTTTTTTGGGGTGAGGGGGAGGGGGTGTGTTAATTTAGAACGACATGCCCATAAGCCCATTCAGATACGTCATAGTCAATATACAGATTGAAATAAAATTAAAAATGTAAATTAGAGCTAAAAGATAAGATGAGAATACAAAAATGCAAACAACATTGCTTTTACTCTTTAGCAGGATCCAGTGTTGGACAACATAGTATGGTCTATACAAAGCAAATCAAATGTATTCACATGCGTCGCCATCCCATATCTCTAACACAATCCCATAATTAATTACAATAAACACCAAAATCCCAATCATCCATTTCCCATTTCCTTTTCTGCCTTTAGTAAATGCATATGTTACTGGAAATTAATCAAATTGATTATTTTCATCTAATTTAACGCAATTAGAAATAATATTGTTGTTAAGTAAATGATTAATTATAGAAAAAAAAAAAAAACAGTACAAGAAAGGCTAAAAACACGAATTCGTGTTTTGCGGATACATTAGAAGTTTTCTAGGACTGACTCTAATTCATTATTTGTTATTGTTAATAATTATATTAATGAAGAAAAACAAAGAAATTTATGAAATGAAAAACATGACTTCTGGATCTATGGCGACTAAAATTGAGATATGAAGATGAAGATGAAGAATTACAGGCTTTTGATTATATATTAGTGGGAGCTGAGATATGAAGATTAAGATCGCCGCCACAAATATTCTGATCATCATCACGACAATGACTACTGCTAGCATTGTGATCGTTAGAGCTGTTACTGTTGTTGTTGTTGTCTACGCCGTCGTTTTTTATGGTTCCGCCGCCGTTAATGACGTTGAAGCCTCCATTGCTGACGTTGTCTTTCTTCCCCAAGGTGTTTTTGTTGTTGTGCATCCACACTTTGAGTACGCCTCTGCTAACGCCGATCTCATTGCAGAATCTCTCCACCGACACCTCGTCGGATTTTTGCAATTTCCACCCCAGTTTCTCCGAGAAGTTGTGCATTTTCTCCTTCTGTTCCTGGGTGAATTTCGTGCGGAACCGCTTTCTCCCGGCGGTGTTCTCCGTCTTCACGGCGGTCGGGGTCACCGGCGTGAGGTGGTGGTTGTGGTGGAAGGAGTCCTCCGGCGGGGTGGTGAGGGCGAGGAGCATGTGCTGCGGCGGCGGCGGCGGCGGCGGGGACGGGGACGGGGAGGAGCGGCGGCGGAAGGGGTGGCGGAAGTCGATGAAGTGTGGGGAGGAGATGGAGTAGTCGTCGGGCGGCTCGCGGCGGTGGAAGTTGCGGTGGCAGCCACACGCGGCGCATTTGAGGGAAGTGGGATCCGCCGGAGTAGCGTCGGGGGCGGGCATGAATTCGCCGCAACCGTCCAACGCGTGGCCGCCCATGCTAGCTGCATGGTTCTTCAAGCATTCTTTATAAACCACCGGCGGCGGCGGCGCCAGCTTCCGGTGAGCCGCGGCGGCGCCGTTGACGAACGACAGCGGCTTAAGGCGGGGCTGGGGTGGGGTATCGTTTTCAGAATCAGGGGTTTTGGTGGTGGGGCTGGTGGTCAAGTCCATGGGAGGCAAATGATCGATCAGTTCAAGAAAAGATAAATTTTGTTGAAACAACAACAAATTATATTAAGGAAGAAATAGGAAGACTTATTATTAAGGTGAGGAATTGAATTAGCACAGAAATCTTTAAGGAGGGTTTATGCAAGTGGGGTTTAGGCTTTTAGCTTTTTTTGGTTTCTAGAGAGAAGGGTGGATAGATAGTGACCGGAGAAAACAATTGGACAAAAAGTTTAATCACAAAATCATCTACCACTTTGTTTATACATTTAAATCCCTAGGGCTTATACCTTTTACTATTTTTTAATTACACCCCAGCTACCTCCCCTAACCTAATTTATCATATTTGCCTCATTTTATTTTTATATAATCTTATATTTATAAACTATTATATTATAGTTGGTTATTATATATTATTAATTTTTTTAGTAAGTTAAAACTACTTTTTAATGTTTTTATTTGGTTTTGAAATATTATAATCTACCCTGGCCTCCATTTAGGTGAAAATTTAATATAGTTAGGATTTTTTTTCTCAAAACATATGACTTCAAGAATACAAATATGATTTGTAACTGTATTGAATCTTATTAACATTTATAATTTGTACGGAGTGGTAAATATTTTGTTAGTCAATTTTAATTTATTTGACTACTATTAGTTGTTTGATTTGGTTAAATAATCAATTTAATTGTTTGATTAATTATTTTTCATAACAGCTTATTGCTCCAAAATATTAAAATTCAAAAGGTTACTAAAAACATCTTTTTGATAAAGTCATTTTACATGTAATTAGATATCAGCTCACTGCTAATTTACCAAATACTTTTCTACAATCAGCTAATGTTATCAACTGATTAAAGAAATAGCAACAATTTTATTATTAAAATATATAATAAAAAAATTTATCAGTGCATCGCACGTGCACTGCACGGATAATTGGACAATTATTTGCTTGAATTCAAGCAAGGATAACATCAAAAAACATAATCGATACAACCCATTTCATCACTATATAATATTCGTTGTTATAATTTATATTTGTATATTCATCAAAATATTCTTAAAGATTATAACAAATCTATTCCGTGCAACGCAGGGTAAAAATACTAGTAATAATAATAATAATAATAATTACAATTATGACAATAATAATAGTGTACACAAGTTTTGAACCCTAGACCTTCAAATTAAAATACAATAAACACAACAAATATTCTGTCGGGCCGGGGTGTGGGGGCCTTTAGGGTTAGGGTTCAGCCTTTTGGAAGAATAAACACATATTCCTACCATTTCTTTATGAAACATTTTAAATTTAATTGAAAACTTTTAATTTATATTTATAAACTAGGTAAAAATAAAATATTGGACTTCTAAAATTTGAGGCCCTGTGCGGTAGCCCAGTTTGCACGGCCCAAAATCCGGCCCTGATAGGATTGAAGGTGTTATATTTGTCTTATTATTGTGCAAACAGGTTGTTAACTATATGAAACACACTCAAATGGGTATACATCTCTAAATAGAGTACGTTTTGACCGATCATTCGCTTTGGGTATGGAGCAACCTTAAATTTCTAAATTTAATGGCTAATTGTCCCTCCCAAATAAAGTTGCCTACAATTCAGCGAGCAGCCTTCAATTTCTAAAACTTTCAAAACTTTAAAAAGGTACTTATAATTTAGCGAGTGAATTAATCAGTATTCGACGGTCGACCTCGTGTACATCAGTACATGCTAACCTCTTTAAACCACAGTACAACTCATCTAATCAATCATTGCTAACCTCTTTAAACCACAACCCATCTAATCAATCATTTTAAATTAAACAGCAATTAAAATGATCTACCATCCCAATCCTTTTCAACCACCCTCCTAAATACATCAAAATTAAATAAATAAATTGGCAAGTAAAAATTAAACATAAATTAAAGAGGACGGGTAATTGGTAAAGGATTGAAGAGATAATTAGTAGATAGAGAGGAGAGAGGAGAGAGGAGAGGTTGGTTAGTCCGTGAGAAAATCATTAAATATGGGTGGTTGGTTTAATATTAATGGTAATTAATCTGTTTGCAACTACTGTCTCCCCCTTCCAGTCAAAAATTCAATTCCAAAGCTTATCAGAACCCATCATGTGATTCTCTGTCACGGTTAGCCATACGTGGCGTAACCACAGCTCTTCGTATGCTTACTTGACTTTGACCCCTACATACGTTACGTTACCCTTCTTTATTAAATTTTTTTTTTTTTTTTAAATCGTACATCACTTATACACCACTCTCCTATAATCCTATATTAGCCCACCCGGTCAACTTTTTCCCCTCAAATACGTTAACATTTGTAATTTTTCATGAGTTATATATTTGATTAAAATATAATCTTTTTTATGTACAATTTAATACTTCATTCGTCTTATTTTATGTGTTTGGTTTGGTTAACGCGACTTGACTAAATTTATATATTTAGAAATTACACTAAAAGTATTATTAAACACACAAAAAATCAAATTTAAAAATAAGTAAAAAATAATAAAGAAAATAAGTCAGGAACGAAGAGTTGGTTTGACTAATGAATAGTAAGTAGGGCAGATAAAATGAGATAGAGGGAATAATAAATTTTAGGTCTGAGATCATCTCACGGATCTTTATCTTTGAAACGGGTTGGATTAATATACAAATGTAATACTAATTAGAAATAAAATGTTTGTTACTACTAAGAGAAAATGTAATACTTTTAAGGACAAATGTTATATTTTTACATTTTGATGTAAAATTATTACTTTTTATTAAAAAAAAAAAAAAAAAAAAAAAAAGCAATGCCATTTGTTGGGGTCTTTCAATGGTTTTTGTCAATAGGCAAAATTTGTGTGAGACCGTCTCACGGGCCTCAATCTGTGAGACGGGGTCGGGTCGTCTTTGATTAATGAGGTCAAAGAAATCAACCCATTAATCAAAGATTCGACCCGTCTCACACAAGTGTTACCCTTGTCAGTAACATTAGGAGAGAAGAGTGACAGAGGGAAAAAGAGCAAAATAAATAAATAAATAAATAAAAAGGCAAAAACTTGTATGAGTCCGTCTCACGGGTCGGATCCTTGATTAATGAGGTCAAAGATCCAACTCATTATTCAACGATCTAACTCGTCGTACGGATTGAGACCCGTAATACAATCTCACACAAGTGTTACCCAAAAAAAAGGTTGTCAACAAAAAAAAAAATAATAGAGTATTTACGTGCTCGTCTATGCACATATGGAGCGCTTTACGCGCACAAGAATATATTACCTTTAATTTTTATTTTTTAGGTAGACCCCATAAAAAATCATTTTCTTGCAGGAGGTACCCAAATTCCTCTATGTTACACTCTATTTCCTCCACCTCATATTTGCCCCTCCCCTGCGGCAAAAAACTAAAAAATCTCTACAAATGTTGCTCTAATACTTTTATATAAAAAGTATTGCATTTTTCAATATAAATAATAAGTATTTTATTCATGATTTAATATTACATTTGTCAATATAAATTTTTGTCTAAATTTTTCACAGACAAAGATTCGTGAGGCGGTCTCACAAGTTTTTGCCTAAATTTTATAAGTAAATTCAAATGTTATGTTATTACATGGTTCGCGAACTTGGCAACGATTTGATTTTGACTGATAAGTTAATTGTTAAAAGTTTATGAAATGTAAAATTTGTGTTATATATTTTGATTTTACAGAAAAAAAATATATTATTATATTAACAAGTAAAAGTATAGTATAACTCATAATTGAAAGATATGTTCAGTTTTTGAAAGTTTAACTTAAATGTAAAATTAAACATTTATTGTTTATATTTTATAAGTTAACACGACTCCTTACCTGGCTAAATATTTAACATTTTGTTTGTTTTTATATTAAATTGAAGGATACAACTAATCTCAATTAAATGGTTAGCTGATAATGAAACTATAGATTTATATATTATTATTTTATGAGAGATTTTAAAGTGTTGCATGTGTAATTTGTTGAGTTATACCTTATGCTTAAAGTAAATTCTCAACGTACAAATAGACTATGACAAGATAAAATTATACAGATCAAAATTTTCATATCGGACTTGACAATAAAACTTGTTTTATTCATTTATTAACATGAATTGACCAATCTAAATTTATGACTGGTAAGCAAATAATCTACTTATATTGTCACGACGATAATTTTGGTGCTATCCTTTTGCTAACGCCCTTGAAAATTTTCTTTTATTATATTTTATTATGCTCTATACTCAATAAGTAATTTGCTGATTTTGGAGTGTTCCAAGTTCAGTCAAGAATGGAAATCCAATATAATGGTCCCTATACACTATACAACATCCATATTTAACAAAAACCAGGGCAATGTATATTGACATATGGTGACAAATAGGGTGCTCATTTAGTTAATAATTGAATTGAATTAATCAAATTTATAAAAGGTTTTAAACAAATTTAGTCAGTTTGTTTGTTTTTTTTTTTGAAAGTTACCTACTGAAACACAAAGAACCAATAACGCCTCCACTGAGGCTCGAACTTATAATCTTCCAAATGGAAGTCCAACCCGGATACCATTGGACCACATAGTCCTGGTAAATTTAGTCAGTTAATTCTTCATAGTTTTGCACTTTTTAGTCCAAGTGTTATACAATTGGTAAATTTCATTAACATATGCGATTATTTTTTTCATTTAGAATCAATATTTACAGTTAAAAATAACGTTAACATTGAGAGTGTGAGCATATATCCATTAATGTGTATCCAACTATTAGCTTAGGCTTTTAGTTGAGATGGAGCACATATTTCAATTTGGTATCAGAGTCAGACCAAAGGTCATGGGTTCGAATCTCAGCGCCACTTATAAGCGACTACGGTTTATCGGTCCACGTGTTGGTTGGAATCCACCGTACACGTGAGGGCGTGTGAGCATATATCCATAGCGACTACGGTTTATCGGTCCATGTGTTGGTTGGAATCCACCGTACACGTGAGGGCGTGTGAGCATATATCCATCCATTAATAATGTGTATCCAACTGCTTAGACTTTTAGTTGAGATGGAGCATATACTTCAATTGAGAGAATGAAACTTTAACCATAGATATTATTCTAAATGACAAAAATAACCTCATAAAAAAGTTTGCAAAGGACTTTGATAATATATAATACCAAGACTGAAAGTGTAACATAATGAAAAAATAAAAGACTAAATAT